TTGCAAAGGCTGCTCAGTTTCAGTGTTGGGTTTACAGCATCTCGGTCTGAGTCTGGGTCTGGGCTTGCACTTTTTTTGCCGCCTCAACAGAGGTGAGATGCTGATGAGGTTTTTCGCAAGTCATCGGGTAACTGTGACTGCCAGCCGTGAGCCTGGCCTGGTCTGGTCTGGCCCGGCCTGGCTTGGCCTCTGCGGCACATTGGAAACCTAATCGTGGACTTGCCATTGAAATTCAGTTACAAGGCTGGGCACGTTTTCAGTGTGCTTGTTTTACTATGACCATAAATGTGAATACGAGTGTGAGTGTGTGAGTGCGAGTGTGAATATGAATACTAGCGTGCGTTGCTGTTGTTATTGAATGTTATATGGAACGTGAACTCGCCGATCATCTGCATGGTCTGGTAATAGCATAAAGTACAACTTAGCTAAGCTTTTAAGCTCTCGTGCATGAAATCAATGTTTCGCGTACATGCTACCTATATTCTTGAATATGTGAGTGGTTCTGTGAGTACACAAGTGCATCCATTTGATTAGCATACACGAAATCAAGTATTTATCTGAAGTGTGGCGTGAGGAATACCTACTTTTAACTATGCTTCAAAATTAGACATCCAATTTATGAAAACAAAATGAATAACTTAAAATGTATAATTACATCAGCATTAAACTTTTAAATAACATTTTCGAATAGTTCGCATAATCACGAGATTATTGTAAAGCTAAGACATATTTAAAACAAAAAAAAACAAATATTTAATTTAAATATAAAATTCTTTGATTTCTTAAAAAATATTTAGGAATTAAACATATAATTTTGACATGTCTTATAGAAATGTATATAACACTTTAACGCTCCTTAAAGAACAATACAATCAATAATTAATAAATATTTAATTACTGCTTAATTTACGCATTTATATGAATATGACAGATAATGGTAGGCGAGGTATACCATCTCCGAAAGAGAGAGAGGCGCCCATCTACGACCTGTTTATATTATATGTTCTTTCTAGCATTTCTATACCTTTTATCTATACCTTTTATCATTGAGGTTGATGCATAAATCTAAAAGATTTTAATAGCTAGAGACAGCTAAGTAATATCAAAGTTAATCGATATTAAATTTGATCATTTATTCATGAATATACAGAAAGAAAAACGGCGGGCAAATGACAAAACTTTTCGTACTTGATTGCAAAAATATTTGTAAGGTTATGAAACCCGAATCGAGCTAAGCATTTTTGAATCAAGTATATTTCGAACTAAATTTTAGATAAACTCTAAAAGGTCTTAGAATAGGAATTAAAAGTTCTTGAATCTAGAATGCTACGGCCTGTCCGGAATCGCAAAGCAAAAGAGAGCAACAAATTTGAGGGCGTAAAGAGTAATCAGTAATGTATTGAGCAGGTAGATTCCTTAGTACTTATAATGAGTTTAAATAGCAAGAATAATAATAATATTAAGAAATTTGTACCAACCCAAACAAATTTATTATAGTTCCACACCATAATTCAATAATTGACCTAAAAATATTGTCAACACTTTGCAACTATTAAACAAATTGTTTCCTAAATATATAAACTTTGGCCAATTATAGCGCTGCTTTTAGCTGTTATTTATTTTGATTGTTGTTGTTGTTGTTTTTGCCTAGAGGCGTATTATACAAATTGAATGGGCCCGTTTTTGGACCACACGCCACCTGATACGCACGCCAACTCATGTAGTAATATTTTGTGGCTAGGCAAGCGCTAACCGAGTGTAAGTCATTTGTAAAAGACCTGAGAACAACAACACAAACAAGAACTAGGCACCGGCTCAACAGGCAACAAGATTGGAACTGAGCCTGAGAACTTTGGACTGGGGCTGTGGCTGTGGCTGCGGCGGTGACTGGGGACAACCACATTCCGCCTAACGAGAGATGATGCACTGGCGATAATCAAGTTTCGTCTTGTTTTCGTAGTCGTACGCTCATGATAAATGTCACAACATTAACATCAAATGACACGGACCATCCGTCACTCAGTCGGAGTTTTGTCTGTTGCCCCTGAGCGATCTCAAACGTCTGTCTGTCCATCTGTCTGCCTGCCTGCCCGCTTGCCTGCCTGCCGAACTACTTCGATTTGATGCTCATCAGCATAGTTAATCCCCTCGAGTCGAGTCGAGTAGAGTCGAGTCGGTGTCGCACGTCGAGATTGTCTCTGGAGTGGGTTTTGAAGAGAGCGCGTGGCGCAACCGAATGATATAATTGCCCATTAGGGTCAAGGTTATGTTTAATTGGAGTGCATCAGCGCGCTGCATAGTCGCTGGAACTAAGCAAGTATATATGCTAATTAAAAAGCAATTTATCAGCTAACCCAGTTGCCGACCGAGTCAAAGCCACCCCGCATACGATTGTTATTCACTCGCCACCTGAACCTGTCAGCCCTATTTATTGTCAGCCGGCCAGCTGGCATTGCCCCTGGGGCATCATGTCCATGTCCAGTTGGTCCCAACCAGATGCGGTAGCCAATTTTGGTAGAATTAAAACAATAAGCGCTGACAAACGTCGCGACGCGTTTTGATAATCGAACTCAACACATGGCTCAATGAATATGGTTTTAGGCGCGTTAATGTTCCGGCGCGACAATTAATGGTAATTATCTATCGAAGCTGGCATTCGGATTCGATCGCACGCATAGGTACACATATATATATGTACATATACCTATATATATATATATATATATATATATATATTCAACCACCTGGGTATTGGTGGCCAAGTTCATTCGCTCATCGAAGAGTGAATGGAAACCTGTTTCCGCAGCCCACATTCGAGTCGGTGTGTGGTGGGAAAATATTAAAAACAAAAAAAAACATGAAACTTGCAATTGGAATAAAATTCGTTACGAAAACTAGGGTGTGCATTAAAAAAAAAGAAGAAATGTGCTAAGGAAAGTTTATGTATGAGCTATGTTAGAGGCTGTCTTCACTGAGTACTTATGTTTCAGAGTTTCATTTCCTGCCTAATCTAGGGTATATGTAAAGAGAGATTCTTAAAGGCAAACATAAAATTGATAATCTTATCTATACGTCTATAATACCTTATAAATTTCATGTTTTTGAGCTCTGTAAAATCTGACGTATATTTGAATTAAGGTAGAATTATTTTAAGAACTTTATTTATTGAAATAATAGACACTTATATACTTTTAATATATTTTTATTATTTTAGTAGATTTGACGAAGCTAAGCTTTTAAGGAATCATAGTCGTTATTTTTTTACCGAATATCTATTCGAGGAAATGGAATGGAATTTTTTAGTGTTCCCTGCCAATCGAGTAATTGTAGGCGAAACTTTATTTTTAACAGTTGCTCCTTTAAGGTTTTCTTAATTAATTTTGGTGTTTTCTTTTATTTTCTGAGGCATGGGTATAATAACGCCTTAGATGATATCAATTAATAGATAAACTGTAAAATATAATATAAACTAATTTCAGGAATACCTCATAGTCTGTTTTTACTCCAACATGCTCTAACCAAATGTGGACTTCTAATTGATTTACAAAAATAATAAAAAAAAGATAAAGTAAAATAAAAATCCGTCACGCCGAAGATTTAAAACCCTTGTAGACATTACCCTATTGCAGACATGTGAAAATAGTGAAGTTCGTAAATGCTGAGATTTTTAAATATTTTTGAAAATAGAATATTTTGTCATATCCTACTCATCCAGTGATCTTTCCTATAGCAGCTAAATGATATATTGGTCCCATGTTGATAAGATTTTGCATATATTTGACGATCATAATGAAACTAATAATTATCCCGAGCATAGTCAAGTTATTTTAAAACAAAAGATTTCCATATGAGACCCAACTGTTCGACCGACCGTTGGGATATGTGCTATAGGTGCCCGATCCGGCCAATTCCGACATATGTACTGCCTGAACAGAAAGACGGATCTGTGCAAATTTTCAAGACGATGGCTCAATCAACTCTTATCCAAAATATATGTACTTTATGGGGTCGGATATATCTGCTTCTGTGCGTTACAAATGCCATGAGAAAATTATAATACCCTCTGCAAGGGCATAAAAAGAAACAATAAAGGAATACCTTACGAAAGTTCTTTTGAAAAAAAAAACCCAAAAGCAAACTTTCTGTAAAACACCATATTTGAATCTGATATGTACTATTAAATATACTGATATGTATTCTAGATATATTAATGCATATATTGAAGTATATATATTCTATGTATGTATATAATCTTAAAGGTTTGAATACTTCCCTAAAATTGAGTTCATAAGAATCAAAAAACAACAAGTGGTTTCCAGCAAACAGCTTAAGTTTCTAGGAAAATAGTCTATAAAATAAAGGACTATTACTTTAATGATCACATTCAAAAAGCTTCTGAGTTCACGAGACCCAATCCCAGTTGAAAACCCCAAAATTCCCAAATGTTTGCAAATTTAAATCAAATCTGCGATTCATTAATAATATTTAATGAACTTAAATGAAGAATTTCACTTCGTTGGATTTGGCTTGCAGCAATGAAATTATAAATCTATTTTCATTCGCGGAATACAAATTCAAGTAACACAATTGTTTCCCCACCAAGCATAAGATTTGACAAATCCACTTAAAGACACAGCAAGTGTTGAAAGAGAACTGAATAGGCTTTACTTTAGTCGAGTGGCAGTTGCATACAAATACAGCCATATGAATATGTACATTGTATATAGTCATATGGTATGAATATGTCACTCGCCATATACATTTTTGCCCTCAGCAGAAGGCGCGCCATTCTTGATTTTGATTAATGAGCAGCGAGCAGAGTTTTTTTTTGGGTCTTTTAGTTTTTGTTATTTGCCAAAGTCGAGCATTACGAAGTCTGTCAGTGGATCACGTGGGTGTTGGCAGCCAAGTAATTTAATTAGCATACGAAAATGGGGCACACTCTGTGCTTTATGGGTGCATCTTCGTGTAGGTATTTGTGTGTGTGGAGCAGTACTTACCAACGCCCGCTACATGAATCTTCTTCATCCATGGGTAAATGATGCGCTCCCCGTCGGTTGTCTCGGCCATCAGATCATCATCGCTGTCTGAATCACCCAGATCATCATCGTTGTCGTTGGACGCCAACTCGTCTGGGGATCGATCGAGCATCAGACGATCCTCTTCGGACATATCCTGCATGGAAAACAGGTATTTTGCATTAGTCTATTCGTTGGCATTTATCACACTTTTTTGCTTGTTTTTATTTACATTTTCCGATCCCATATCATCACAGTGTAGCACCTCTTGCAGCTGTTGACCAGTGGGTGCGGCTTCTTCAAGGCGTTTCTCTAGCTTTAGGCCTGGTGGAGATTTTAAAGTTCACTAAATACGTTTTTTTGATTCTCATATTGATATAAATTAGATTAGATTGCCATACTCAAAACTCAAATACTTTAATGTGGCACATACATTAATTGAAAATTTAATTTGAATTACAAACTTTGGCATTGAAAGAGCATTTTAAACATTTTCAAGAATTTACTGTCTAACATAATATAACAATTTGTAAAAAAAATGCATTTTTAATGAAAACAAGAAAAAAGAAAACCTCTGGTAAGATTTCTTTATATATTCCCTATGTATATGACTATCCTTTTCCTATAATCGAATCATTCGCCGACATTATAAAAGTTTGATTTGCTCTCTATGCACAAATTTCAATGTAGTTCAAAACTTTTCCAAGTATGTGTTTATAACTTTGCAAAATGGGCGTAATTTGAGGCGCTTAAAAAAGTGATTACTAATTATAGTATTTGGTTAATAAAATGCTAAGCCCTTTAGTCTTGTTAGTGTTGTTATCAATAAAATTTCTTGGTGAACTTCTTCAAAAAAATACTCAAGTTACAATTCAGTTTCCATCCACTGAATTTATTAATCGATTAATCAAAAGTGAAATTACGATTTTGACGGAACTAACTTTCCCATATTGCCATTTATATAAAAAGCTCACTAAAAAAGGATATATCGCATTTATATCAGATTTAAATAATATTTTTCTGAAAAATTATAAGATCTGCAATTTCAACTACATAATAACGAGTAGAAAAGCTAACCTACACATTTTTAAATAAATTTTGACAAAGATAAGTTTAGATTAAAATTAGATATAAATATTTTTCAATGTCGATAATCGTACGAAAATCCTATGTAAAATATAATTATAAATAAATTGCTAAGATAGATAAATTTCTTTGATAACCAAGCAATATTATATATTTAAAATTTATATATTAAGCTTTAAGAACATATTTTGAATTTAAGCAAAATTTTGTAATCATAAAAAAGCTTTTGAAGTTAAAGTTGACCAATTTGAAGTCTCATGCGACTCACCTAATTCCTGCAGACCCAATGAGGTGTTTGTTGGCGGCTCCGTTGAGGAGCATTGCAGTGGCAGGTCCATCATCTGTGAGGAGAGCGGCGAGTGGCCTTGGGAGTGGGTGCTGCCGACGCTGCCGTTAGTGGTGCCATAGTAGCCGCCGTAGTATCCATTGGAGCCATTTGCGCTACTGTTGTTTGGCACGTTCACCGACGGCGGCGGTCCGTAACCCGCCTCCGAGTGCACCACTCCGGCGGAAATGTACTCGGGCGCATGGTGCACAGCCGCAGCGGCTGCCGCCGCGGCATGGTGGCCATAATAGCCCAGACTCTGGTGCGGATGCGGATGATGCGTGGGCGGCGTTGTGGCATAGTTTGTCGCGTAGCCCGCATTCTGGTGATGGTGGCCAGAGAGCGGACTGTTGCTGTGGTGGTGCGAGTGCGAGAGCGGGTTATGGTTGTGGTGGTGCGCGGCGGCGGCCATATAATCATTGACCATTTCCGCCGGATGCGTGGCGTGCGGGTGACCAGACATGCCAGGGCCGCCGCCACCAAGCCCAGCACCCCCACCACCAGTACCAACACCAACACCAACACCGCCGCCCATGTGCCCCGTTGATGCGGTCATGGAATAGTGACCATTGTAGTGATGATAGTCATCGGCAACCGGCGGGAACTTCGGATCCAGGCCATTACCCATGGACATGGGGCTCTGGACATGGTGTGGCGCATGTGGATAACCCATGAGGAATGAGCTCATCGTAGTTTCTGTGTTTCTATGGTGGATTACTAAAACTCTTGCTAGGCTCTGGCTCTACGACTGCTGCTCGCTGAGCGCATATTTCATTTCAATCTTCACTTATTGGCACTCACTTTTTGTTGCACTTTTTGCCTTTTTATGATCACTTTATTTGGACTGTGGCCAGCATTATTTTTGATGCGGGGGCTCTGTTTATTGAACACAGCGCGAATGTCGCGCAACCGGCGCGTAAAAAACGTTGAAATTAAGCGGCGCCGTAAACAACAAAAATTCCAAACAATTTGACAGCGGCGTTCAGAAAACATTCAAAAATACCAAAAAGACGACGCGTCCGATTCACGAGTGCGAATGCGAACCGTTCAATTCGAGCCGTTCTTTTGTTATGAACACGAACGAACGCTCTGAGCGCGAGCGAACCTGTTTTCTGTTTTCCTTGTCCACAGTTGTTTCAACTGCTTTTCGCCGCTCTCCCTCATTCGCGCGCTCTCTCTCTTTCTCTCCTTCTCTCATTGTTCGCTCCGAAACGCAGCGTACAAATCGCCATTGCCATTGACAGCTAGCGATGACGTCGTCGAGTTTCGAAACTCGATTTACTAGTTTTGTTTTTGGCTTCACTGGGAAGCAACAACAGTGTACAAAGGACAGCCCACACGGAGTGAGAGCTCCGTAGCCATGGCTGCACGCCATTTTCAACCACCGAGCAGCGAATGTGTTGGTAGAGTGCAGAGAGCTATTGTGCAAGCGAGATGACACGATATTTAGTCACACCCATTCGATGCCGCGCCGCTTGCTTTGCGTTTGCTACAGGTGCGGCTGAAATATTGAGTATGGAAGTAATATTAACCAACTTTCTACGAATTTATTTATTTATTTATCGAGACAATTATTATAATTAGCAGAGATATTTCAAAATGTTGTTTCTTCTTATTTGCAGACTTTTAATAAACTCTCTTAGTTTAACCATGACTTATTTTTTTCACTCTATCCACTACTCTATAAACGTATGTATTTTGTCAGTGTAAATACATACAGTAATATCAGGGGAACCACATTTAAACGTATGCGTATACACTTAAATGGAGTTGACTGTTTACTGTTGACGATTGTCTGAGCGAGCGTGAGTGTGAGTGCGAGTGTGTGTTGCTTTTGTGGTATTCGGCCATGGCGCACGCTCAAACTCGAAAACTGCCCTCGCCGTCTCGCATCGTGCGTGGCCAACAAGCACCGCCCACTTTTCACTATGCCTTTCATCGATCCCGCGTGCGAATATGGCAGGCCAGAGACCATTTATTTTCCAGAATCTAAAAACCGATGCAACACAGTCTCTGGAACTGCAAACTACAGTCGTATCGATCGTAGGGCCGGGTCTGTGTGAGGTGTTGATATGAATTGCTCGTCTTTGGCTACCGAGTTGAGAGGCTCTACTTAAATACATATTTACGAGTACTACACACAATACAACTATACACACACACATAGCTCGATAGGCAGCGGCTGACTTGCAATATTTGCCCATTGCCATTGAATGTTGAATGAATATCACCGCACTTGGCGCAATGTTTCATTTTTATATTGTGGTTAGTGGAAAGGAGGGGGATTCTGTGGCTGCTGCTGTTGCTATTGTTGTTATCGTTGTTGTTGTTGTTATCATTACTACCGTGATTTGTATTGTTGCTGAAAATGTTGATGAAATGATGAGCATGACTGGCATTTATTCAAATGAGCCGGGCACACATGGAAAATCGATAGAATGATTGTTGTATAATGCACATAAAGAAGGTCGAACATTAAACGCTTTAATATTTTTACACCTAAATATTTAGACTCTTTCTTTACACTCTAACAACAACAAACGCAGCCTCACTATATTTTATCTAATGAGGCTTATGCTTCTTTGTAGGTTTATTATGCGAGCCACACTTCCGCCATGTACCCTCCATATACACACCTATCTGTGGGCCGTGTGGGTGAGCCCTGCGACCGTCTAATTACCGAATAATTGAACCCATTCCAGAGCAGCACACGTGCTATACTAAACAGCCAGACCAGTCTGTGTTCCCTGCGTCTGTGTGTGTGGGTGAGAGACTACTAATTAATCGACTTCCAACTGATTCGATTTTGATGGTCACTATCAAAAGTTCATTAGGACTATTAAGTGCATAAAACTTAAATTTATAGGCTCACGGAAATGTCCGACAATAGCTTTTGTCCATTTGTTAATAGTTAACTTCTTTGAATTATTAATGTTAGCAAGAGAACTTATTTAAAGTATGCTGAGATTTGTGCACATAATTATTAGACGTGAACACGAAGTTCTTTAATTTACTCTATTTAATATCTATAATATACCCAAGTATTATCCAGCTCACAATTTAGATTTTATTAACACGTAAAAAATGTAATATAGTTCACAGATAGGTTAATGGAATTACGAGATTTCCGCCCATTTTATTCCCGTGGGGGGAACAACAATGAAGAAATGACATGAACTTAATGCCAAAAATGCAACTTTTACTCATGCAGCCTTTGACCCCCGCATTATCCATCGAAGAAGGGTAGCTTTTGCGAAAAGTGTGAAACGCCTCTCAAATAAGTTTTAGCAAAAATCTTTATAAATGAGTTTGCGGCCGATTTAATGGTAAGCAACATAGTTTCATGCAACCACGTTCCGCGTATTTTTCACACTTCCTTGTGAAATTTCCAAAACCCCAAACGGTCCAAACAGTTATAAATATTGTATATAGATAACTAACATAATTAACAGAGGAATTAATTGGCATTAATTGAATTAATTGTTGAAAAATCGTATATGTAAACATATTTAAATAATTAAAGATCATTAAATCATAAAGATCATAAGCCCAAATAGCTTAAAAACTTCTGACAGGACTTGCATTTTAAGTATTACTAAACTACCCGACTTTACAAGAATCAAATAATCCCACTTTCTTTATCTTTGGCTCCTGAAATACACTGATCGTGGCAAAACATCGCACAATAAATGAAAAGAAATTTTTTATTTCAACCTTTGCAAAAACTTTCTAAGACTTATGCAAATTTAAGCAAGACTACAAAATAACAACTCTTTGTTTGACAAGCACTTAAGAATGTTTTCTGTTTGGGATGTTTTTGAAGTTTGGAAGGAGCAACCGCATTAGTGGCTGCTCCACTGAATTTACTTTATGCCAAGCTCCTTGATAGAAGGCTGACCGACTACCCGTATCCAGAATGCGTTGAAAGGCAGGCGGGTGGTTCGCTGAGAGCTTTGTCTCTGGTGTGGAACTCAACGCGGGGATGGGCAGTGGGTGGCTGCTCGGTCTGCTGCTTGGCGCAGCGTTTGAGTTCCAAATCCCAATTCAGAGCCAGCAATCAGTTGCGACTGTCAGGCGGCAAAGGAAGTTCACTTGCTGCACAAGGCAAATGTGATTAATGGTTCCATGCGGGGCACATTATGTGTGCCCTGTCGTGAGGCGCTGTTTGTCTTGGGTTCACATTCGTATTCGTAGTCGTATTGCCGTTCTTTGTTGTCTCTTTTTCCATTTTTATTTAGTTTTTTTTTCATCTTCATTTTGCTCCATTCGCCTTTAAGCTACCCTTCAAATAGATTTTTTTTATATAAAATTTAGCAACCTGATAATCCGTTCATAAATACTTTTTTATTGGGTTTTTAGCGTAAATTATGTAGATGGGCGCTGCCCAAACATATCTAATTACCTATTTAATTTACATGATTTGATTTTCTAAGCCTGATAAACAATAAGATTTAATCTGTCATATTAAAGCAAACGGGCAAGTGTTTTAAGTTATGTAAACTTAAATTTAGAATTTAGAATTTAATGCATAAATGAATACTCGATTTAAGATTCCCATTTAAAGAAACTCGACTTTGTTTTAAATTGAAATATTTAATTCTGGGTTAATGCAGCCCCTTGTCTCGATTAAATATGGTGTAGGATTGTTTTAGAATAGAAATCCTACAAAATAAATTTCGAAAAGCGGTTCAAAATTTAGGCGTGTCGTAAGCGATAGTTAGTTTTGTTTCATTTAAACTGGCTTAACTGGCTCGTTCAGATTTATGATTTATAAATATTTGGAGATATATATATATATATACATGTTTACCCTTGGCTTGCAATATGTTGAGACATATCCGACCCCATCAAGTATATAAATTCTAGATTTGCCGATTTAATATAGCCACCGTTTGGAAACTTTGCATAGGTACGTATTTCTGCTAGGCAGTACATATGACGAAACCGAACAGAGTAGACTACTTATAACTAATATAGCTGTCATATGAAAATTTGTCGTTCTTGTTTTCAAAAATAATTTCTTTTTCCAGATATATTCATGAAACTCAGCATGCCGAACGTATCACTACTTCTCGTTCATTAGTATTTATGTAAATCATATTAGTATAGTATTTTATGTGGTTTTGTGTAGAGATTCAAATATGTGCGCAGCTTCAGTTGAGTCAAAAGCTGAACTTCGAAAACTGCTACAAAAAAAATGATTAATAATTATTCAGACTAAATATATACTGATTTCTCTAAGCAAGCTGACTGTGATTGCAAATTCTTTTGCTCATATCTATTTCAAAAACTGGAAAAATATTTTCGAGTTAGCAAATGCCTATGCTAAACTTTTGTCATCTTCAAAAAAAGGAATTTATAAAGGCACTCAATATTGATTTTTCAAACCCGTGAGCTTTCAGCCGAAATGGCAAACTCCCAGCGATCTGTTTAGCATGTAAATTGGTTTAACGACATGTTGACAAGTGAGATTGAGCGTGGCGACAAGTATGGGAACCGAATGCTGATTAGCTTGTGGATCGGGCCAATTTAAAGAGATGAGCTTGTGTATTGGGCCAGGAGTGCGTCACAGGACTATTAAGGAGGCCTCGGCGCACTCAAATGATTGATTGAGTGATTAATGATTGACTGCGCCGTTTGCGTCAATCACTGCCGACGCAATTAAAGCTTGAGGCATGCATCGTGTGACTTTTATTGACTTTAAATTGAAACTTCGAACATGATTTGGATGAAAGTTTCCCAATTGGGCAAGTGCTCGTCTAACGGCTCGGGTTTAGGAGTTGAGCCACAGATATGTGCATTATGGCCAAGTCTGAGGGCCAATTAAATGTATTTCATTTGGCTGTCAATAGGAGAAGAAACGCTTTTCCATTTATCAACTGTCTCAACTGCTGTCATATTATGCTCAAATCGGCGACCCAGACTCGGTTACAGATACAGATACAAACATACGGATAGAGATACACTTAAGTGCGGGA